AAGACCAAGTCCCACCTTTATGCTGCATGTCGATTCATATGAAGAACTAAAACAATACGCAATCTGTATTATCCGCATATATGGCTGCATATTAGGGTTGTCACGATACTAAACTTTTCAACTCGATACCGATACTAAGGAAAATATTCGATACTCGATGCCATTTTCGATACAAGGATGAAAACAAAGACTCCAAAATTCAACAGAAATATTTTCATTAATAAATAAAATACAATAAATAAACACAATAAAGGTTGTATGCTGTGCATAATATTAAGCAAGCTTGATAAAAAAACTTATAAAATTCAAATTAAGTGTTCCTTCCTTGGCTATGCTTTGCACACATAACAATGATGCTAGCCAAACCAGTTAAGAAACAAAAATAATTCTCAGCAGCTGCACCTCTTACAAAAAAAAAGTCTGAAACTGAAAAGTGCGTAGAATTATTCAATCACACAGTGTTCAGAAAATGCGTTGTCCTCTATTCTGCACTTTAGATGAATGACTGCTTAGGTGCCACTGGTGACGGCACTGTATCGATACTTTTAAAAACGAGTATTGTATCCGGATACAACATTTTAGTATCGATACTTTTTTGAGTTTCGATACTTTTGACAACCCTACTGCATATGGCTCCACAAGTAGCAAACCCATGGTGATAACAGGGATCTTTATTGATAATTGAGAGATGCTTCATTACTGGCTCAAGTAGGGCTGCAACAACGAATCGATAAAAATAAAAATCGACTTTTAAAAGCGTTGGCAACGAATTTCATCACCGATTAGTCGCGCGATTAATGCGTCATCCGCCGTCATCACATCCACTTGACTGAAACGGGGGAAGAAAAAAAAATATGGCAGAGCGAGTCAGCGCCGCAGGTGCCGTGTTGCCAACTCAGTGACTTTTCAGACCCCTCCAGCGACTATTTTTCTAAAAACGGACTAGCGACATATCTGGCGACTTTTCACGGTGTCACTGGCGGCTTTTGGAGAATCTTACGTGAAAGCAAGTATCGTTCCTACTCTGCCGTGGGGCGCCTCCCCCATCCCAACCCCGTTCTCCCGCTCCCGCAGGAGTCCCTCTCAGCGCTGCAGTCAGAGCCGCAGGATGTTACCCTCAGCGTCCAGACTGCAAATGAAGCGCGCATGGGCCGGGATTGACGGCGCAAATTGATCACAATAATTAAAATAGCCTGCGCTTTGTAAAGGAAAAAAGTCGTAACATGCAACTTTTGTCAAAACAAATTAAAGGAATAATACACCCAAAACATGATTAGCCTTCATTTTCTACTCACCC